AACTTCCTCAGCCTGTCTTCATACGGGAGGTGCTCCAGTGCCCTGATCATCCTCGTGGCCCTCCTCTGGACTTGTTCCAACAGTTCCATCTCCTTTTCATGTTGAGGACACCAGAACTGCACACAATAGTCCAAGTGAGGTCTCACGAGAGCAGAGTAGAGGGGCAGGATCACCTCCTTCAACCTGCTGGTCACGCTCCTTTTAATGCAGCCCAGGATACGGTTGGCTTTTTGGGTTGCGAGTGCACACTGAAGCTGGCTCATGTTCATTTTGTCATAGACCAACACCCCCAAGTCCTTCTCTGCAGGGCTGCTCTCAATCTCTTCTCTGCCCAACCTGTAGCTGTGCCTGGGATTGCTCCAACCCAGGTGTAGGACCTTGCACTTGGCATGGCTAAACTTCATGAGGTTGGCATCAGCCCACCTCACAAGCCTGTCAAGATCCCTCTGGATGGCATTCCTTCCCTCCAGTGTATCAACCAAACCACACAGCTTGGTGTCATTGGCAAACTTGCTGAGGGCGCACTCAATCCCACTGTCCATGTCACCAACAAAGATGTTAAACAAGACCGATCCCAACACCGATCCCTGAGGGACGCCACTCGTTACTGGTCTCCAGCTGGACACTGAGCCATTGACCACAACTCTTTGTGTGCAGCCATCCAGCCAGTTCTTTATCCACCGAGTGGTCCATCCATCAAATTGATGTCTCTCCAACTTAGAGACAAGGATGTCGTGTGGAACAGTGTCAAACACTTTACACAAGTACACATAGATGACATCAACAGCTCTACCCCTGTCCATCAGTTCTGTAGCCCCATCATAGAAGGCCACCAAATTGGTCAGGCAGGATTTTCCCTTAGTGAAGCCATGCTGGCTGTCACCAAGCACCTTGTTGTTTTTCATGTGCCTTAGCATGCCTTCCAGGAGAATCTGCTCCAAGATTTTGCCAGGCACAGAGGTCAGACTGACTGGTCTGTAATTCCCTGGGTCATACATTTTCCCCTTCTTGAAAATGGGGGTTATATTTCCCTTTTTCCAGTCATTGGGAACTTCACCTGACTGCCATGATTTCTCAAATATGATGGACAGTGGCTTAGCAACTTCATTTGCCAGCTCCTTCAGGACCCGTGGATGGATTTCAACAGGTCCCATGGACTTGTGCACGTTCAGATTTTTAAGATGGTCTCGAACCAGATCCTCTCCTACAGTGGGCCCAAGGTCTTCATTCTCACAGTCCCTGCATCTGCCTTCCAAGACTTGGGCGGTGTGGTCAGAGCCTTTGCCAGTGAAGACCAAGGCAAAGAAGTCATTCAGAACCTCAGCCTCCTCCAAATCCAGAGTAGCCAGTTCTCCCAAGAGCTTCCTGAGGGGGCCTACATTCTCCCTAGTCTGTTTTTTTTTTGCTATGTACCTGTAGAATCCCTTCCTGTTATCTTTAATACCTCTAGATAAGTTTAATTCTAACTGGGCCTTAGCTTTCCTAACCTGGTCCCTAGCTTCCCAGACAACATCCCTGTACTCTTCCTTCCACCTGTCCTTGCTTCCACTTATTACAAGCCTCTTTTTTCATTTGAATTTTCCTCAGCAGCTCCTTATCCATCCAAGGAGGTCTCCTGGCCCTCCTGCTGTACTTCCTTCTGGTTGGGATGCAACACTCCTGAGCTTGTAGCAGGTGATCCTTGAATATCAACCAACAGTCTTGAACCCCCCTGCATTCTAGGGCTGTATCCCATGGAAACTTACTAAGCAGGTTCCTGAAGAGGCCTAAGTCTGCTCTTTTGAAGTCCAGGGCAGTGAGTTTGCTGCAAGCTCTTCTCACTGTCCTGAGGATCTCAAATTCAAGCATCTCATGATCGCTGCATCCAAGGCTGCCCTGGAGCGTCACATTTCCACTGAGCCCTTCCCTGTTGGTGAGCACGAGGTCAAGCATGGCACCTCTCCTCGTTGGCTCCTCTATTACTTGCAGAAGGAAGTTGTCTTCCGCACAATCGAGGAACCTCCTGGATTGCTTGTGCCGGGCCGCACCGTCCTTCCGACAGATGTCAGGGTGGTTGAAGTCACCCATGAGAACAAAGGCCTGTGAGCGTGAGGCTTTTCCTATCTGTCTATGGAGCGCTTCATCCGCAGGTTCTCCTTGATCAGGCGGTCTGTAACAGATCCCCACAGTAATGTCTCCCATAGCTATACTCCCTTTAACCCTGACCCACAAACTCTCTGTTAACTGCTCACCTGCCCCAGACAGAGTTCCATACTCTCCAGCCTATCCCTAACATAAAGGGCAACTCCCCCTCCTCACCTGCCAGGCCTGTCTTTTCTAAAGAGCCCGTAACCTTCCATTCCAACACTCCAGTCATAGGAGCCATCCCACCATGTTTCTGTGATGCCTATTATACCCCTGTAGACGTGCACACACCTCTAATTCCTCTTGTTTGTTCCCCAAGATAATTATTCCTTTTTGTAGATTCTCTTCTTAAGACCTGCCTAATCCCTTGAGCATGTGCTTTATGACAAATTTTAAAAGCCTCCTCGGGCCCTTTTTTCATGGAACATGCAGATCTACATTGCCGATTTATGGGCTGCTTTGCCCATCCAGAATGCCAACACTCTTCTGATTGTACCTTAGAGACTAAAATTCTTTTGGATGTCCACTGGCCTGGAAGCATGCCCACTAGCATGAAACTAAAAATCCTTACATTGTCTAAGCCCAATATAGTCTGAAGTGATATCCCCACTGCTGCAAACAATGAAAGACTAACAATCATCCCCATCTACCTCCAGAACCAACAGCTAGTGGAAAATAAAAGGCATCTTCATTTTAAACAATAGAGAAGTATATTTAAGAGAAAGTAAGAAACAATATTTCAAGCATGAATCATGCAGTGCAAATGGCTGCAAAATGCTACTGAAATTTTCAGAATAATCACTTAAAAACTTTGTTTTCTTGACATGAATGTTTATTTTTGGTACATTAACTTGGTATTTTTGGTATCAGTAGGTGGAATGTATGCTCTAATCTAAACTTCACATGAGTATCAGCTGGAACTTTGCAACTGCTTTCATCCAAACAGATGACTGTATTTAATACTGCAGTATAACCTTTCTTAGTCTCCAAAATAAATTTGCAAAGGGAGTGCAATACTCTGAGGATAATTAATGTGATAGGGAGATTTTTTACCTTGATGTCATTATTTGAAACTGACTAAATTAAATTTGTTTGCTAAGTAACCTGGGGCACCAAATGAAATTGGAGCCCTACTCCCTAGGCACAGAAACATGCTAGGTAGGAAACAAAGCCCTGTCACGAAGCAGACTATCCAAGAAGCCAGGGTGTAAGAAAGGAAGCTCTGTAAACCCTAGTATGACTGGCCCAAGTGCAACTCACCTATTTTACAAGAGCAAATACATAACAGGGATGGAAACTGAGCCATGACTACAGAAGAACCTCCACTGACCCCACTGGTTCTATACTTGAACTATGTCAGCCAGATACAAGACAAAACAGTGATGGAGAGCAAGTAAGCACCCACTGAAATGCTAGTCCGAGGACCAACTGTCCGCATTGACAGATGTGCTGTAGCGTTTTGACAGTGCAATTCCACTGATGTTCTCTCATCACCATTCAAGTACTGCTGAATAGTCAGTAAATTTGCCACGTTTTAAAAAAGCAAAGAAAGATTAAATACTTTGATCTATTAGTGTTGCACAGATTTTATGTTTATTATTTATCTCCATAGACAGCAAAAGCAAATAACAGTGATGAGAATTAATGGCCTCATAGCACATGCAAAATTTTCACTAGAAACTTGTGGATAATGGCGAGAAGTCAACTGCAAGGATGATTCCAGGCCAACTAAAGTTTAGTAAACATTCAGCATCTGTGCTTTCCTTTTGGTTTTTATTAAGCCGTAATGAAAGGGTTAAACACATAATTCTGTACCCCTTTTCCTTTTCTCCTTTCTGTTTTTCTTTTTTTAAAAAGAAGAGTCTCCCTAGAGGTCTCCCAAGGTCTGAATCTACCGCCACATTTAATCACTTTTGGTGTCTTTCCTTCTTCTTTGCAGCAATTTTGCCTGAGCACTCCTGAGACTGGTGTAGCATTACAGATTCATCAATGATTTGCTGCTTACTCTACATTATCCCACAAGTGCTGAGGCAAACAGTTCTTTGCCAGGATCAAACGATGTTCTATATTCGCCTGCAGTTTAAAATCTTGTTAATGTTGACACTTCTGATGAAAGCTCCACAGTGATCCTGGAATGAGCGAAAGCTGCAGGCTTTGGTGACTGCCAAATAAACAGGTACTCAGGGCACAAAGTTTTTTCAACGTCCTCTATAGGGGCATCATCAACTTAGGCATCATCTTTACCAGAAACAATGTCAAATAGGACACCTAACACACCCTGTCTGTGGGTGATGTTGCTGACAGGTAGCAGGGTGATTGTGCGGCTAAGCCAGTGTGTCCAAGAGAGAACTTTGCTCTGAAGTCAATTAACTTTAATGGAAAGACTCCAAATTACTTTGATGATCTTTGGACCAAGCTCAGTAAGAACTAATTACGTCTCCATTCTAAAGGCTAGTTGTCAGAATTATTCATGGATTTTTGTTTGTTTCTTTTTAATACTGGATGACAGGCTCTTTTTTAATTATTCAGAGGGACTGACATCACTTTGAAAGTCGAAAGTCACAAATACAGATCCCAATATTTAAAAAAAAGATAACTGCAAACAATAAGACAAGTAGAGAAATCTTACACACTGTGCAAATGTGATCCACTTAATGGGGACAAAGTGAATACAAACTACACTTAGTGACACCTGTAATCTAGTTCTGTGGTATTTGCTGTACTCCACAGCCTTACATGTGTTCAACATGAGTACAACTAGGTTTACTGACTGTAGCTTCCAGTTCTACCAACAAAATCAAGGACCAGAACTCGCCTCACTCCTTCTTCTTAAAACTCCTGACACAGAAGGAAGATTTTATGTCAGAAAAACTTACCACAGGAGAGAAGATACTTGAAGAAAGATGATAATACAGGTTCCTCACGTGGAAGCGATACCACAGCAAAAGGCTGAGCAGTCTCAGCACTTTGTAAGATTTATTTATTCTGACAGCAGATCATCACCTGCAAATCAAATTAAGAAATGTTCAAAACTTGAAAGTCACAAATTAGGCCAGGATGAACTGTATGATGTCATTTATCGAATGATTTTCATCCTATTTTTTTCCTTATAAATTGTCCCAGTAGGCCATGAATTTTTTTCCCCTGGACTTTCTCTATTACTAAAAATAATTGCTAAATCATTTCTACATCATGGTCAGTAGCTTAGTGCTTTTTTAAATGAAGTTTTCCTTAAACTGCAGGAAATACTTAAAAGTTCAAAGTATAATAAATATAATACCCTCAAATTGTATTTATAGCATACAAGACAGGAAACAGAGATGTAATTTGTCCCTGTGAACTGGTCAGACAGCAAAATGATGTAATTTGGAGTGTAGTCTTTAAAAAAAAGACCTAAAAGCTGCCTTTGGATATTAGAGTCCAATTCTCTCTGACGCTAACAAAAAGTCAAGCCATATTCTGTGAAAATGTGGACCTGCACCTTTGCTGATGAGCTCTGAAAACCTAGTTACAGAAGAGGAGAGTCTGTCTTTGTGAAATAATGGAGGGGATGAGAGGAAAGACATAGCTAACACCCTCCCATGATGCATACAAAGCTCTTTCTGTGGGCAAGGACTGTTCCTTCTTTCTCCCTGATAGGAACTAATCTCCCTGAAATACAAGGGAGGAAAAGAGGATAGTTGTTCTCCTCTCTTCCACCCCCCTTGTTCTCACCAAAGGGACAAGCTCAAGTGAATTCTAGCACAGAGGATTTCAAAAGGCTGTCCGCATTTGCCCCTTTGTCAGAGGCCACGTCAGCTGAAACGTGCATCTGCTCCATAACCCCTTCAAATCTATGCACACTTGTGCAAATCTATGCACACTGCTCTATGTGTGGACATGAACCTCTGGCAAACACATTTCATCTGAAGTGCTGGTCTGCAGAGCTGACTTGTAGTGAACAGCTTATTGCAGAACTATAGGTTAACTGCAGAGTTGTGGTGTACCCTGTACGAATCCAGGCTTCAGAAGCAGTGACACTGTTGACTTGAGCTAAAACTAATGAAGAAGTGGGCAAACAGCCTTTCTGAAACCCAGTTTCTCAACAGTCTTGTAGATGCACTGAATAACAGTTACTCAGCTTTCTAATTAATAGACAGACTATGCAAGAGATTTTGGGTTAATAAAAAGAAAAATTGGAAGAGCTCGCATGCACTAAATACCTGTGCCAACCCTAGCCTAAAGGCTAAATTATGATGATCTTCGCAACTTGTGTTAAAAATAACAAAAGAACTGGCACTAATTTATGCTCAGTCAATCAGAATGATCCATAATGGGGAAGTTTTCAACAAGGTGCCGGCCAACAGTTTTGATCTGTTTTAAAACAAGCCATCCTGGTCAGCCCTGTAGAGGCTAATGCTTCTAGCTTAATGACTCTCCAAAGAGGAGGAGGCATAAGAGATTCAGTGACTCAGTAGAGATGACTGCACAGACCTCTGCAGCCAGCTTGGAAATGACAAACGATTTGTTAATAGAGAAGCTTTATTTTTGTATTATTTTTTGCCGATGAAGTGAAAACAGAGCATTGATTAAGCAATCCAAGCTGAGAATGTTCTAGCCAAATTGGAAAGCTTTCAGACTGGCAGCTAGTTTCAAGGCTTTGAAATACAACTTCTGCTTGTTATTCAATGTTTAAAGATACCTATCCTAGAGTCTCAGACAGTAATAGATGTCAAGCTGACACTGTAGTTCACAGATGATTTTCAGTCGTGTGGGCCATGCCACATACACACCACTTGTGCTTTCTCTCTCAAATGCTAAAAACTGAAAGGATTAACAGAGCCATCAGCAAAAAAGTTCTCTGTACAAGTAGAGTACGACTGAAAAATACCCATAGCCCAACATGATCTTAATTCACCATTACCCTTCTCTTCTGCCTATCAGTTTAAGTCATTTGTATATAAATTCAGACTGAGCCTTTCATTTCACGCACATCATGAAGTTTCTGCTCAGCTCAAATTCTAAGCTCATTTCCTGTGAACTAATGTTACTGAAGTCACCATACCTATTCAACAGTAAATGAGAACTAGGTGTCTAGAGATAATTAAAAATATTTGTGGGTTTTTTTTTTTCCCTTTTCAGAGAAGAATTCAATTTTCCAGGGGAGCTTTAAATACGAGCTTTTGGCCCTCACATATATTAAATTTTGAGTGACTCATATTCTCATTCCCTCGTGTAGCTACGTTATTACACTGTATTTCCCTCAATTCATCAGAGAATAGATTATGTCCATAGCCATAAAGCAGAGATAGCAACACGTCACAGAAGATTAGGTCCAGACAGGAAAACAGGCCCCAAAGTAGAACAGGAGTAAAAAGCATCTAAATACTCAGAAGGTATTATGGAACCTTTTTGGAATTAAAAATAATCTGATTTTGTGGTTGAATATTTGGGTTTTGAGATGGGCTTTGTTTTTATTGAAATAAACCTGCAAAAAGAACATGCCTTTCACTACAAATCTCCTAATGCACAAATATGAAACTGCTGCAATGAAAAAGTTTCACCTTAATCAGGTCAGTCTGTTTGGACAGACTGCTGAGTAAATAGCTATGCCACATTATTTATATTGCAGCTTTTTCTCCAGAGCTAAGAAAAATCAACACAGATATATAAGCTAGGTCAAAAATAGCTATTATTTTTAACAAATAAGCATTAAAAGAAATTACGTGTTTTCCCAACTAGTGATCTGTACATTTCACACATCTGAATATTAAACCAGTTATTTTTGCCTCTTTGGTTTTAAATCAACACCCACCACTACAACAGGCTGTTAACAGAGGGAGTGTCCTTAATGTTAGTAGAATTGCTTTCCTGGGAAGTTCATGGAGGAGTAAAAATACTAAGGCTAAGAGCCTGTTTTCTGAAAAACTTGCTCAGAAAGTCAATACATATACTGGTAGGGGCAGCTTTTTATTACCATGATTTATTATCCTCATTTAACCTATTCCATCCACATCCTTGATGGAAAAGTTTCTAATTGTTTGGATACCAACTTCTTCCCTAAAAAAAACCAAAACCCAACAATCAGAAAAAGAGAACAAAACAAAGATTTGTGTTGGCTGTTTTAGAACAGAGATTGGGGAAAGAACATTACCAGTGGTATAATTATTTAGATTTTTTTGTTGTTTTTGATAAGAATTACTGAGCAAAAGATTTGTTGGGTGAGTAACTGCAACACTCGTGCCAGCGGAAACCTTCTTGTAGTGCTCTTTACAACACTGTGCTGGTACCTGACAATTCTGTAGGTATTCATAGCCTGAGTACCTTCTTGATCAGAATTTCTTTGAAATTCCTTAATATACCATTATGTGACCACTTCTATGAGATTTGTCGATGCTCTTTTGGTAAATATAATACATAGCTTCACTGCCAGAGACGTAAGTAATAGCTTTGTACATACATGAAATTACACTCTTCAAAACAAAATTTGATTCGCTTTTCTTTCCTATGACCCAGGATCCTGCCTTGCTGTGAAGCTGACACAGCATTAAGTACTGAATCACATCCAGATTCCTCACTCATCATCCCCGAATCTTTCTGACTACCCAGGAGTGACATTCCAGGTAAGTTTTATTGGTCAAACTTAGATTCACTGAGATGCTGCTGAAGTAAATGCATGTATTTATACGTGAAAGAGACCTGAACGCTTTTTTGGTTTTTTTTTTATTCCACAGCAAAAAACCCCACAACACTATTCAAAGTAGCTATGTCCATTAGGTTTAAAAAACCCCAACATTCTTTTTTCATGACCTCATTGCTTTAAATGTATTTCATAATTTATTTGTAGTAGAAGGATTTGGAAGTAGAAACCACAGGAGAGTCGTAATTCAGGTCACATTTGTGCAGCTCACCAGCTAATCTGAAAATCTAAATGTACAAGAGACTCCCTAATATCTTCTCCGAATTGTGTGTCATATTACTTATGAATAGGCTCAACCTAAAAGGAAGGTTTTTATGTACCAAAAATATTTTCAACATTGTCATTTACTGCTTTTCTCAGTCATTTCATGCTATTGTTCAAAATTTGTAAATTAACAGCCAGATCAGGTTTTGACCCATCCGCTGCCTTCTCCTTGCTACAGATTGAATGGCTAATATATACTCCACTACTGGATTGGCTAAACTTGGAACAAGTCCAGAGAAGGGCCACGGGGATGATCAGGGGACAGAAGCACCTCCCATATGAAGATAGGCTGAGAAAGTTGGGGCTGTTCAGCCTAGAGAAGAGAAGGCTGCGTGGAGACCTCATAGCAGCCTTCCAGTATCTGAAGAGGGCCTATAGGGATGCTGGAGAGGGACTCTTCATTAGGGACTGTAGTGACAGGACAAGGGGTAATGGGTTAAAACTTAAACAGGGGAAGTTTAGATTGGATATAAGGAGGAAGTTCTTTACTGCGGGGGTGGTGAGGCACTGGAATGGGATGCCCAGGGAAGCTGTGAATGCTCCATCCCTGGCAGTGTTCAAGGACAGGCTGGACAGAGCCTTGGGTGATATGGTTTAGTGTGAGGTGTCCCTGCCCATGGCAGGCGGGCTGTAACTTGATGAGCTTAAGGTCTTTTCCAACCCTAACTATTCTATGATTCTAAAAAAACACTATGTAGAGAGCATACTATGCTTTCTCCTTCTACCAACTACTCTGTCATATAGTGACAGATTATTAAAATAAATGAAACAGTAAGAAAACAAAATGAAATTTGTCTCTTTTCATTCCCAATATCCTACTGATATTTCCTTCTACTAATGACTGTAGTGGGTGAAAATAGGAAAAATCTCCCTGCAACTGATTGGAAGAGAGTCAAGGAGACTGGGTTCAGCTACTGGTCATGCCCTAGAGGGTGACACTGGCTTATTTCCCACATTTCACAGTGATCATAGAAAGATGATTTCTCCCTTTGGCCCAAATGTATTTTATGTACTTCAGCTGCAAGTTCTTTGGGGCTGAATATGGTTTTCCAGTGTTAAT